CCATACATATCCGCCAACAGAAAGTTACAGACACCATGTCATGTCTATTAAATCGTTCGCATCTCATACCTGACTCAGGAAAACAGACTCATTTATCAGCTGGGGTTTCTATTACCCTAAGGCTTCAATATCCAAAATAGTTTCATTAAAAACGGAAACAAAACTAAATGATTCTCTCAACATGTGCTCAGCTGTCATACTTACTACTTTCTTTCCTTCCTTCCTTCCTTCCTTCCTTCTTTCTTTCTTTCTTTCTTTCTTTCTTTCTTTCTTTCTTTCTTTCTTTCTTTCTTTCTTTCTTTCTTTCTTTCTTTCTTTCTTTCTTTCTTTCTTTCTTTCTTTCTTTCTTTCTTTCTTTCTTTCTTTCTTTCTTTCTTTCTTTCTTTCTTTCTTTCTTTCTTTCTTTCTTTCTTTCTTTCTTTCTTTCTTTCTTTCTTTCTTTCTTTCTTTCTTTCTTTCTTTCTTTTCTTTTCTTTCTTTCTTTCTTTCTTTCTTTCTTTCTTTCTTTCTTTCTTTCTTTCTTTCTTTCTTTCCTTCTTTCTTTCTGTTTGTCTTCTTATGATGGCCCCGTGTCACATCCTACTGGCGCCTTCGTGACAGAAGAAATGTATCCCTTACCTCCCTCAGACATATCTAACCTTCGCTTATACTTTTCTCAGCATGTCAATACACATCAGCTGAGGTTCATCGATCCCTTGAACATATGCCCAGAACGGGTCATGATACTCCTCATTGCGGTCAGTACGTTTCAATGTGTACTTATCAAAATGAGCTCCCATTCGGCCTACTCGACCAGAACGAAATCTAATATACGTAGTATGTTGGCTGAAATCGTAAGACTTCTTTAGATAGACAAGCTGTAAGCAAAACGGTTACTGGAGTTAGCTGCGTATCCTTCACATGACGTTGCAGAACCTAACCCAGCATTTTTCGGCTGTTGCGGTTTTTCTAGGCAAAACTACTTCAGTAGTTTGTCATTGCTTATTAAATAGGCGGAGGATCTCAGCGGTCTGCTGTCAAATTGTCTGCAGCTGGGATAGAACCGGCACCCAGGTATTACAAAGCCAAAGCCAGAGGCACCGACAGAAGACACCACGTTAAATACAGTAGACTATCTCTAGTTGTGGGGCGGCTAGCCAAATGATTAGGACGTTGGACTCTCAAGCGGGAAACTCAGGTTCAAATTCTCGGAAAGGTTTTTTATTTTTTTAATCTGTCGGGGCCAAAATAAAATCCCCAGCTGCACAGTCGTGGCGACAGCACTAGCCGTAAATCCTCAGGTTCTTTGACCTCGCGCCCGCCTACACCGCAAAAGTGGTAATAAAAAAGACAGTAAATGACAGTTAGCTAATATCTGGTTTAATGTGACGAAAGAGTAGACCGAATATCAAAAAGGCTGTATATGTTGAACTTCTATAAATACTCAATTTTAGCCCCAACCATATAATTAACAAACACACAAAAACATCCAGCCCATCCGCTTTATATCATATTTTCTGATTCTTTGTACACGCCAGTACTTTATAAATATTTCTTCTGTACTGATCTATCCATTTTAAACTTTTGTTACCAAAAAAAAAAATGAACTCCAAAAATTCAAATATTGTTCACATTTTAGGATGACATTTATATTGTCTAACTTAACAGCAGGACAAGTAATCTCGTGTGCACCGTACAGTACAAATTAACATACATTTGACATTTAAAAGGAAGAAAACATTAACGTTAAACATAGGGTTACTTAGAAAAATCACCGGAACATCTTTTTTTAAAGAAGAAACTGTTAACTGATAATTAATTACACAAATTTCCTGATGTAGCGGTCCTTTTTTTTTTTTAAAAAAAGGATCTTGGCTCTCAAGTCGACGTAGTCTTGAGTGGGTACCAGGTAAGTCCTGGGAAGCAAAGGCGGTCAGCCTTATGCTGTCTGCATCACCCACCCAGTGCCGATTGGTCTATACAAAATAGAGGTCTAACCGTATAATCCTAAGACGCTTGAAGGCGTGGAAAAAGGTCATTTACTTCCTTTTCTTTTAAAACTTATTTTACGAAAATTGAAAAGGGTCGGTCTTAAATCAAAGAGTCTTATCAAAGTAATTTTTTTGGTTTTTCATTAGCAAAATTAAAAACAACAACAACAACAACAACAACAACAACAACAACAACAACACTAGACCGGATAATACGGTGTCCAGATTCTCGGGAGCTGAATAATAAAGGTTCTACTGTATCTCATTATTTTAACCCGGTCTGCAGCACTCCATCTCCAGACATGTGCCTTTCAGTTGTTTGGTACCCTTAGAAAAACCACTCGAAAGAACAACGATTCCAGACTGACCTGTCGTCATCTGGAGTGCAGGCACAAAGAAAATATGAGCGGGGTTGGGGTGAGTTTTCGTACAAATTTTCTTGGGAAAGGGACGGGGCTTAAGGGATCTCAGCCTTTTTAAACTGCTTAATAATAATAATATGCTAAATGGTCAATAAATTATAATCGACTTTTTTTTAAATGTATAAACCAAAACCAAAGGAACTTCTATACATATCTGGAAAGAAGCAGGGGGGGGGGGGGGGGGGGGGGGGGGGGGGGGGGGGGGGCGGGGGAGTGGCTGAAGAGGAGGGGATGGGAGGGTGTCAGGCTAGTTCACTTTTATTTTTTGCGGGGTGCCGGGAGGGAGGGGTGGCGTCAAAATGCTTAAGCCCCTAGGTTCGGACGCCCCTTGTCGTCGTGACAACAGTGGCTTACTTGTTTACTACTCAGACCCACTCTTCTTCTTTTGGGGGTTTTACGGTCTATGTAGGGGGGTGGGGGGGGGGGATATTAGACCCATTGCCTTCCAACAATTGTGTCATGAAAACCGACTAATTATGGTGTTTTCTTAAAAGTTGGAGTGCAGGGAACCAACAGTCTGCATGCAGCTAAGATAGATCTGTAACACGGATGTACACGCAGAACTCAAGTTGTGGAATAAGACTAAAGTCCAGAAGTGGACGAGCGATCAGAACTGTCCGTCAGAGTTTACTATTGTCGATGACTGTCAAGAAGAAGAGGAATTACTAAGTCTCCATTGATAGCGATCATGACTGTGACAAAGAATCAAAGTAACTGCTGGATATCATTGACTTGCTGAGTAAATGAACAATCTGTACACCTTTAAGACATACATTGTTTTTTGAAGCATTGTGTAACTGAAGACATGTTCACCTTATAGGTTCCGGAGCCCCAATATGGGGGCAAAACAGAATATACCCACAGACCCAAGCATGTGGTAAAACTTGACTAATTAGGGATGCTTCTTTTGAAGTTGAAGAGCATTTTGATGCGAGCGAGGAACCAACAGTTTGCATCATAATCCAACGTCCTTTTAAGGATGAAATTTGTTGTTATTTGAAGCCCTACCCTAGCTTTTGCCAGGGGCCGCAATATAGGCAGGCCATAAATATGGCCAATTGTCTTAACGCGGTTTCCGAGACCTCTTCACGGTGATCCTCATCCGCATGGTGGCACTTTGTGTCATCATGTGTTTATCGATTGTGTCCTGGTGGGGTAGAAAGTCAGTCAGTCAGTCAGTCAACGGTTTGCATAAAAAAAAGACTGATCTGTAAAATAGATGTGCATGCAAAATTCCAGTTCGGGAACAAGACTAAGAGTTCAGAAGTAGACGAACAGCCAGACTTTATGTCACAGTTTACATCCGGTACAGACTAAGAGGAAGAAGAAAACACGTGAGGTTTTGTTGCTCAGAGGTCAACAAACGCTGGTAACAGTAAATTATTCACCAGAGTTGAGTTGAGTTGAGTCAAGAATTGATATCACAGCACTCGGGGCATTCCCATGCGTGCCCCGTCCTCATCTTCAGCAGCCATCGCAGAGTTCCAATACTGATGGTACCGGTCCCAGTCTGGTTATATGTACGTCTTGCCTTTCCTCTGAGTGTAGTGAGCTGGCCAGACTCTCTAGTTACACCCAGGTGCCCCATTCTCCCCAGGCCATAATAATCTTGCTTCTCTACTGATTCCGTTGCTTGTTCCCAAAGGGCCTTGACCACATCTGCCTTGTCATGTATCAATTCACCACATTTTCGTTCCAATACAGCCAATCTGTCTATCTGTTCATTACCCACTACGCCGGCACGGCCTGGAAAAAAGATCCAAAGTAAGCTCACTACGCGTAAAAGAGATTGCGGCCCCATTTGGTAACGCACCATACTGGTGGATGCTCACATATTCACTTCTTCTTCTGTTCGCTCTCCATGCCAGTGATTTTCTGATGAGAAGGCCACAGACCTCTGGGAAGTATGTGGTGGGGCGCATGTCTTTCACGGTTCCATACAGGTTAGTTTCTATTGGTATGCTAGCCGGGCAAAGCTTGGTTCTCTCTACTGCATGCAGAGAGCATGCCTGTAGCAAACATTTAGTATTCTATGTGGAATGCCCATACTGGCAACGTTTGGAATCCCAATCTTGCATTTCTTGTGCATATGACTGCATCTGTTATATCTAGTTAGTTAGCTGCGTATCCTCAACAGGACGTTGCAGAACCAACCAGAGCATTTTTTTTTCTGTTGTGTTTTTTTCTAGGCAAATTTAGGTTCAGTAGTTTGCCATTGCCTCCTGTACGGTCAGCTCTTGGTACCACAGTCGAAACCAACGCAAGACAAATGGTCCGCATCTTGCATGAACCCAGCACACCGGCATTACGAAGCGCATACGCAACGCCTAAGCCACAGACACAGTCTATTTGTAGTAGTCTCGTTCTTTCGTCTGAGGTGGCTGATTAGGTCTTCAATGAAAAAAAAAGGGGGGGGGGAGTTTACTGGATGGAAAGACTTCCAATAGTATTTACATATTCACTACAGCCAGTCTCCTTTGTGGAGATGCACAACAGCAACAACAAATAGCATTCCTAAAATATCTGGTTGAGATGTTAACGGATGATCAAAATAAAATTGAAATCAATGTATATATATATATATAATGATTTATAACAATTCTAAAGTTTATCCCACAGTGCAGAGCTTACTGTTGTGTTTCTTGGCCTTCTTGCCTGTAGGGTCCTTGCGAAGTGCCAAAGTTCCTTGTGACCTTGATGGTGTGCATGTAGATTTCGGCTGACCGGAAGATGCCAAAGGAAAAGTTTCACTTTTTGACATAGCGACACAATGATGGGACGATTGAGGCAACGTTGGAGTTACTGTCAAAGATGTGTGAATTAGACCACTATGCAATATTTGAATATCCAACGTATTTTGGCTGTTGCGGCTGTGTGATCCAGACGGTCTTATATTGGTGGTCTCAACTGTCAAATCGCAGATTTCTGTCGACGTGTCAGTCTTAGGGCAGTGTTTATTATGTAGAGTCAAATTATGTGGTCTGTTTATCTCTCCGACAGTTAAGGCGCAGGGGATCAATACACGTTGACTTCTATAACAACTGCTTTCACCATCCTCTGACTGTGTAAAATCATCATTGACCACACAGTGTTCGGTGTGCGGTATTTGTCTTTCTTGCGGCCGCGACAGGGAACTGGCTACCTCTTCCATGTTTCCTGCAGGTTTACAATTGCTATCGAGAAAAGGTACGTTACATGGCAGTATAGGGTTATCATTTGGCAACCATAGATTGCTCCTTTTTATAGAGACACGCCTTTGGTAATTGTCTAAGCTTGGAAGACTGTCTGAGCTGCTGCATGTATTATGGTTTTCCGTGCTTTTACTTGCATCATTACTTTCTGATATGGAATTTAAATGATGACTTGTTACTTTCTCATAACCTTTGCTGTAGGTGTCATTGTCAGTGTCGGCATTATTATAAGTATAAAGAAATTTGCTAACATTGGACGCACAGCTGGTTGTATCAGCGAGTATTGTTTCGTTGCTGAGGATTTCATGTGAAAGACTTGAATTATCTAAACAGCTCGTCTTGGCAGCTGTATCTCTGTGAACCTCTAGCTCAGTAAACTCGTCCTGAGGCTCAGTCAGACAGCGATTGAGGTGACCGCACAGAAAGTAGGTGCTCATCATGCCCTTGCCCTTGATCTCCATCTCACCCCTGTGTTTGAATATATAGCCCCAACCTCGCAAAGCCCTGTGGATTTTGAAAATTATATTAAGACATGTCAAAAATGTACTATTTGTAACTGGCACTCTTTTACATATGAGTTGTAAATCACACTCTTTTACATAAAATTTGTAAATGACACTCTTTTACATATAGGGTGTTTATGACACTCATTTACATATGAGGAAAGTATTAAAACGATAATGAAGAATATCTTTTATTAGCGTTAAATGATTGCTGCTGTAATCGGAATATTCGCGATTAACTTAAATCACTACAAATAAATTAAAGTTTTTTTAAAACTGGTGCTTATGCAGACTGTTAAGTAAGACTGGCTAATAACCAGTATATTCTCTCGGAAACTGAACTGTTCTGCACCACTTAATGGTGATCTGATGTATGGATGTTGTGAGGGCCCTTTGGGAGCGAGTGAACAGTGCCGAGACACAGATAGATCAATACGGTCTGAGGAGAACGACGCTGCGAGGAGTTATAAGGGGATTTGGCCGATGCTCGACACTCAGGAAAAAGGCGAGATGGATATACAATAAGGCAGCTACTAGTACCATCGGGATTTTAACTCTTCGCTTGCTGCTGAAGATGGGGACGGAGCGCTTATGGGGGTGTCTCGAGTGCTGTAAAGTCGATTCTTAATTCAAAATTCAACATTCAGCTGAACTAATTTGGTCATATCAAGCGCCATCGCCCGGTTGGTAAAAATAAATAATAGCAGAAGACATATTACCAGGAAGGATTGGCACGGGCCGAACAGTGACTCCTTAAACCTGAAAGTACACGAGGCGAGACAGATGGCGAGAAAACGAAATTTTCTTTCAGGCAGACCGGGAAGAGAGCGACGTTCTGCAAGGAGGGTTACATGATGATGATGCAGTGAAAGAAAAAAATAAAACTTTGTGACAGAATCATTATTATGGACTTATGGTGAAACTTAATACATCTAATTGTATAAGTTGTAGGGAAAAGATGCTGGAGGTGCAAAAAGACACGCATTAAAGGAACTTTTTCTTCGCATTCACCTTCTGTAAATTCCAGCGGAAAGTTTTAGTTGTTAGTCTATTTCAGGACCTTTGTCTTGTTCCAGTAATTGAGTTTTTGCATGCAAATCCATTTTATATATATTAATTTTTGTATGCAGACTGTTTCTTACTTGCCCCCAAAGCATATGAATTTGGACTCTGAAGAAAACAGACCTAATTGGTAGACTTTTACAACATGGTTGGGGGGACAGTGGGTTTATTTCTCCTCCCCCAACCCCCTCAATGTAGTCCCCGAACCTAAATGTAAAAATAAAAAAAAAAACTGATAACGGTATAACTAGAATGCTGTTTCACTGGAACCAACAAGCAATAATTAGACTAGGGACATCTAAAACACACCAGAAAGAGAAATAAAGACTTAAATGAAAAGACATGGAAGGAACTGCTGGAAGTAGAAGAGTTGACGGTGGGTCTATATTAAAATGGAGGACGACACACAGATGAGGAGGATTAGAAGTGGAGGAGAGAAAGAGACCGTAAATGAGTAATAGAAGGAGATAGTAGAGGACGGGGAATGCACTGAGACAGAGAAACAAAAATTAATAAGGAGAGGAGGAGAACAAGAAAGAATAATACCACTGCATACATAAATGTAAGACGTCAGTTAGTATTTTTCTTACTTTGTCTCACTTTCCTTTGGTTTTCAAATTAGACGAGCAATTTTTATCTGAGGCTTTATTTAGACACATATATTTCCTAGTAAGTAAAAGCAAAGTTAAAGACCCTTTTCCACGCCTTTAAGCGTATTGGGCATTTAGGAATAGACCTATATTTTATAGACGAAAATGCCACTAGGTAGGCGATGTGGTTAGCATCACGCGTAACGTGGTTAGCATACCTTGACCAAATTAAATTGTCCTAATACTTACTGGTACGTTGTAGGACTAAGGTGTATTCTGCCAGGGACTCCGTGAGACTCCATGCGTGAGGCCGTGTTGACTGTATCCCCGAATAGACAATACCGAGGCATCTTTACACCCACCACCCCAGCCACAACCGGTCCTGTATGTATACCCACTCTGATCTGAAGTATGTAAAGACATATATGACATTAAAAGCAGTGTTTTCCTGTAGGGAATTTAAGTATTGCGTGTATAAACACTACATTGCACAATTCCTGGACTGATATTTTGTCTATCTCGTCAGGTACATTACTGCAATGTTACATCAACATATAATAAAGCTAAAACACATCCAAAATGGCACTTAGTAGCATAGAACTCGGTGAGGAATGGGCACAAGTACCAACAGAGTGCTGTACGACCTTTTCTGTTTGCATCATTCTAGACAGTAAATGCAGACAAGAAAGTCCAGCCGGTGCTGAGGCATACGTGCAGACTTTGATTGTCGAGAATTGTCTACAGGGGTATGCTGGCATTTTCACAGATGGGTCTCTAATTCGTCACGTGAGAAGCTCTTGGGCTTTTACGGCTCAGGCTTTAGTTAAAATTGTGAAGCAAAATTCTGGTACTTTTGCCGTAACTACAAGTAGTCTATGGAGGTCATGGCAGTGACCAAAGCCATAACATGGCTGGAGACACAAACCTTTTTCCGTGCTTGCTTTCTTAGTGACTCAGTGTGCAAGTGTGCAAGGAAATGAGCAAGCTAATCGGCTTGCTGGTAAAGCTACTGTGGAAGGCAGACTAGCCATGGAGCATGCTGATATTCTGAATGGTCTACGAGAAGTAAGACGTTTGTGAGAACAGAGTGATGACTGTGAATCTTCAACAATGATCAGACTACATGAACAACATGTTAAAAGACTAGAGCACTATGCTGGAAGCTGAAAAAGAATAAGAAACCAACATAGAACTGGTGTCGTGAGCCGCTACACGCTGTGGGATTTACTAAGAAAGAGATCCAAGCAGTTAAAAATGAAGTGATTCGACGTGCAGTGAGGATAATTTGTCGATTTGCTAACATTCAAACAGGATTTTTTTTTTCCTCTACTGAAATACGTGTATCGCACTGTTTTATCCCGGGTAGTTAACCAGGTCAGCAAATGCTAGAAGAAGTCGGATGTGTCGGCCGAAAGGCGGAAATATAGCAGCTTTGTTGTAAACAGGCATAACGCAATTAGGGAACTCGGGCGAACGAAAACAAGAAGAGAAAGACTGCCTTCTCTAGCTACGCTGTACATGACACCAATGGAAGTTTAAGACAGACATTGATTACCAGGGAAGATTTTACCACATATAGGTTCTGTTCGCACAACGCATGAATATTCATTTCAGTGACCATCAACTTCCACCCTATACCGTGTTTAGTAAATTAAAGCAATTATTAGACATGTTGTCAATTTAATTTATAATAGTTAAGCATAGGCATGTTTGAGGGTGTGTATGTGTGTGTGTGTATATTTGTGTTTATATATGTTTGTTTGTATAATGTGCGTGTGTTTTTATGTGTGAGTGTATGCAGGTGTGTATATACATGTGTGTGTATGTATGTGTGTATGTATGTGTGTATGTATGTGTGTATGAATGTATCTACGTGTGTGTTTGTATGTGCGTGTGTATGTGTAATTGTCTAATTGTATAATTATACAGTCTAGAGAAACTAGACCAGGGGAAATTTTCACTAGAGTCTCTCCTTGGAATCATCGTGTTTTCTTTTCTCCTTTTTGATGAAATTACCTCATCGCAGTGTTGGTAGAATGAAAATAAAGGGTGGAGAAAAGTTGTGGGGGGGGGGGGAGATGCAATGATCGTCTTTGAGGTTTAAAGTTTGAACAAAGGATCAACATCAAGGCACACGGGTAGTAACCCATAGGTGCTTCGTTCTTCTTATAACTAAAGTCTGAGTCCGAAAAAGCTCAGCAAAGAGCACATGCTTTGTAGCATCCTGAAATACTTTGGGTAGATTTCTAACTCAAAAAAATGTGTGCCCGGGCAACGTTGTTAGGCCACTCTTTTCGATTTCCAACGGCCTATGGATTTTTAACAATGCACACGGGCGTCCGATCTCACTACCCAGAGACCAGGAGGAATTACTAGAAGTCCAAGTACATGTGAAAACATCCCATCACTTGAACCATGGACTTCTAGCACTCGAGGAGGACACCAAACGACGAGACCACGCATCCCCTGATCGTATTTGACTTTTGTCCAACGCTCAGAGTTGATTGGTCCTGGTTTTTATTCATTTGTTATGTATGCTGTTATTTTATCATTTTATGTCACCTTTCAGTTGCACTGTCCTCATTACATTACTTTTTTTTTTTTTTTCCCATGGCTCTCTGTAGTGGTTGGTACTTTGGAATTCTTGCTAGAATTCCAGACTACATTCAGTGGAAGTCTCCTTCTTATGTATTCAGTTTTTTTAATGTCACGGCTACCCCAGTATCGTTACCACGACCTTTCACTTCTGGTATTAGAAATGATACGTCGATCAGTCGGAGATATGTAAAGGATGAATAAAACGTGTATTTTTTTTCTTCAAAATTCTTGTATGTACATGTGATTTTGTTGATTAACTCATTGTGCTGATAAAGGATCTCTAGCAGCAACGTTTACTTTTCGGTTGTGTGTGTTACACTGTGATATATCGCTGGTTTCCTTTTCGTTCGGTTTGATATCTTTTTAAAACGGTGACTCATGTGCTAAAGACATTGAAGAAAACATCTCAACTTACTGAGACAGCCAAGAATACATATAAAGACCAACAGAGTTACAGTCGGTTAGGTACCCTATGGGAATCACGAAATAAACTGTAACACATACAAGGAAGAATGATAACAGGTTTTTAATAACAGAGGCGAATTGATCCATCACAAAGTAGACATGGCTAGGGCCTTTTTGAAACAAGTAACGAAGTCAAAAGAGACGCTGGATTATTGTGGCCTGTACAGAATGATGCACCACGGTGTGACTAGAAGATTTGGACGGCTCACTACACTCAGAGGAAAGGCAAGACGGACATATAACCAGACTACGACTGCCACCATTAGTAATGGTAGTCTGCGCTGGCTGCTGAAGAGGGGGGTGGATCGCATTTGGAAATGTCCTGAGTGTTGTGATGTCAATTCTTGTCTCAACTCACTCAACATTTAGTAACGCGTAGAAAATAATCCCGTCTTCACCTAAGCCAAATTATAATTTCATTATGATTATGCAAATTATTTTTATAGTTCTGTCCCTACTTCTTTTCACCCCTCCTTTTCCTCAGTGTGTGCGTGTTGTGTGTGTGCGCGCGCTCGTGTGTGATCATTTTTATTCCTAGACAGTTAAGAAAGACACAACAATAATAATCGAAGAATGATCCTATGTTTATTCAGAGACATAGTCGACTAATATTCATAATTATTAATAAACAAGTAATACAATGTAAGAAAGATTTATAAAACAAGGCATAATCATCATCATGCAGCAGCTCATTTACAGAACGCCGCTCCTATCAAGGTCCACCTGAAGGAAATTGGGTCTCTCGCCTGCTCTCCGCCTTGATTACTTTCATACTCCTCTTCTTCTTCTTCTTCTTCTCGTTCACCGGCTGTAAACTCCGGCGGAAAGTTCTGGTTGTTCGTCCACTTCTGCCTGCAGTCCTTTCCAGAACCTGTGTTGCGCGTGCATCCGTTTGACAGAACTGACTAATTTGTTTGCAAACTGTTGGTTCCTTGCCTCTCAGGCAGATGCACTCCGACTTCGAAGGAAGCTCCCAGTTAGTCGACTCTTACGACATGCTTTTTGGGTAGGCAGTGGGTCTTTTCTTATTTTCCCCACAATGGGGCCCCGGAACCCACACGGGGACTTTTAAATTCAAGGAGTCACTTATTTCCTGTGTCCATTTTCATGCCTCTCCTTCCTGGTACCATGCCTTCTGTTATTATTGTTTTCCAATCAGCCAATGCGCTGCATATGATAACAATATTTCAGCTTCTGAGACAAGATGCTGTTTATTAGCCAATCTTTCATGATGTTCAAATCTTTTTAAAATTAAACTATTTCGCCTCTTCTTTGTGCATGGTATTTTGAGAATCTTTCTATCAAATATCAGCTCAAAAGCTCATATTTTCTTTCTTAAGGACTGAAAGATACTCCACGACTCACATCCGTATGTTGCTACAGGAAAGAGGCAATCTCTCAAAATTGTAATTTTTATTTCCTTGCTGGTGCTTAACTATAGACTTGTAATGCTGTTTAAATGCGTTGCTATGGACATCACCCATTTGATTTCTGTCAGACAGTCCCCATTGCTGTTTATTATAGAGCGTAGATATTCAAAATGTGTGATATTTAAAAAACAATTTTTTTGGTTTTTGTCATAGCCAGTTTTTTGACATTATTTTCGTTTACTTTAATTAAAAAATAGGATTTCATCTTCACTGTGTGTTTGGAAAAAAAACAACAACCATTCAGCAGAGTGATAGTCAACTATTATTCATAGTTATTGTTTAAATAGGTAACACAATGTAAGAAGAAGAAGAAGAAAATAATGCATAATAGTGACAGTTAATACATGGAAACATTTAAAGGAAAACCTCATTATGCGCACCCGAAAAACAAACAGTTGGTTAATATGAAGAAAAATGTGGTCTTCGCAGGCATGTTCAGTTTACAATGTTATTAGTTCCCGACTTGTGGAAATGTTTTTTAACCCAAAGCTCTTAATTTTTCGGTTTTCGATTTTCGGAATTCGGGTTAATAAGGTTTTACTGTAAATAGGAATTTGAAAATTGCTTGGGTAAATGGCGAAAACACAAAGGGCGAAATCAGTGAAAGTTTGACTTATAATTAACTATAAATTCACTACAGTTTATTTACTGTCTATACTCTCCTTAAAGTAGGCTCTTGTTGATGATGATTGTAAGAAGTACTATTCGTTTACTCCTGTTGTAAGATGATTTTTTTAAAAGTATATCTTTAGCTTTCATCTTGTTCTTTGGGTTCGACAGCTGTAAACTCTTGTCGAAAACCTATGGTTGCTCGTCCACTTATTGATTTAGTATTATTCTAAAACTTGAATTTTGCGCATAAATCCACTTTACTGATCTTTTTTATTTGTGTGCAGACAGTTGGTTCCTCGCCTCCCAAGAAAATACACTCCAACCTCAAAGGAATCACTACCTTTAATTTCATTTATGTTTGTAAGGTCTGAAGCAAACTTACCTGCAGGGGCAAACCTGTGGCAGGGGATCGAACCAGACCAGCATCTTCTATCATGTCCAAGGCGAAGTTAGCCACTGGCTGTGCATGATTGTCTGTTTTCTCAGGAACACCGCTGACGATCATATAGGCATCTCCAATTGTTTCCACCTGTTCAATACAGTAAACGTGTGAAAGTGAGAAAATGTATAAATAACATATTGCAATTATCAGACTCATGTTTTTTTTTTCCGGCAGCGCGCAAGGATGCGCAGTACTTTCACCATAACTGACACTTTGTGGTGGTTACTGTCACATTTTAGACAATTTTTGTTGAGTACCGGCACCTCTTTTGTTCTCTAGAAAAGAAAAAAAAACTTGCTAGAATAGTTAGTTAATCATGTAAATCGTTACTTTAATTAGTTTTTTTTTTTTTCTTTCTGGATTTGTTCCATTCCAGTCCTGTGTCAGTCAAGGACTTTCAGATGTTGTCTTGCCAGTGGACCCTGGGTCGTCCTGGAGGTCTTGTTCTTAGCCTCCCATGCCTGACATCGTAGACGATTATCTCAAATCCTGCATACATGTCGAAACCATTGTAACTGTGACTGAGCCACACGGGGTTGTAAGGCCTGGGTATCGAGATATTTTACCTACAAGGTTTTGTCTGATTGCGGACTTTATCCCTTCTTGTCACTTGAACATCCTTTCACAGATATCTCATTTCTGTGAACTATTATCATTGGCGATGACTCATACCCTTGCGTCAGGACTGGTACATAGGTAGAGTGGTAAACAGCCATTTTCGTTCTCTTGCCAATTTCTCTTTTGCTAAGAAAGCCTTGGTTTATGTCCTAGAAGAGTCTCCAAGCAGCTGATTTTCGTGTAGCCAGCTCAGTCTTAATGCCTTCCGTTCCGGTCTAATCCAACTTCAAGGCTTTGAACTGGTTGACCTGCTCCAGTGCATACTGTTCCATTATGATCTAGTGTTTCTTCTCCTCTCTTGAGATCACCATGGTTTTAATTTTGGAGATACTAATGATCATCCCTCTCTTCTCAAACTCTTCCTTCCTGTCAAGTAAGTTGGATTGATGGCTATCAGAGCCACATCGTCTGCAAATTCCAGCTCTGATATACAGATTGGTTAATCACATCAATCAAACAGATAAAACAATGATTAAAATCTTTACTTTAAGTTAAGCTTAACTAATAAAAAGTACACGTCAATGAAAAATCATATGTCAAGGATGAAGAAACTCAAAATATCACAAACAATGAATAAAATCTTGGCCTAATAATTAACTCTGTCACACCTGGGTGGTTTCTAAACCGATGATTCAGTAGTAACATAATCAATAAAAGTCATCATTGTGTGGCGAAATGCTGTGTAAATATCAGCTCATCGTGTGCGCTGCAGGTGTTGGTGCTCATGTTTCTCGACAGTTCTAGGTTTCAATGCCACTGACAATGTTTCTCTATGTCATCGCTTCGGGCCACCAAGTATATTTCTCTTGGTTTGCTTCCGGCTGTTCTACCGTTGAGTTTTTCCAGTCATCACAATGTTCTCAAGTGGCTCCCTTTTGATTACATGACCGAAGAACATTGAATGTCTCTTAACTGAATGTGGTTTTGTAATTGCATTAGCTATTTCCAGACAATCGTTATAAGCTACTCTGGCTGACCATGGTATCCGTAGCATGAGGCTCAGAAAACACATTCTACAGCCTCTCCAAGTTCTTCATTTGTTCATTCAGAGCACAGTCAGAATAATATTTTAGTACTTTTTTTAAAGTTTAATGAGAGAGACCTGCTACATTTTTTTTTTTTTTTTTTTTTTTTAATGCCATTTTCCACCAAGCATATCCGGTTTTAATCTATGTCACACATTTTCCATCAGATATAATTGCCTTCAGATATTTGCACTTGTTGATATGCTTAAGCAATTTGCCTTCCATTTGGGGTCCACAAAGCAAACACACACAAACTACATAAATACATTTCACTCCTATGTTAACCCATTTTAAAAAGGGTACCAGGAAATTTGAGAGAACTGAATACGTTCTATGCGGGCCAAGAAGTTGGATAAAACATATGTTGAGAAAATCTGAGAACAGTATAAGTAGAATGTCATTACATTAAATCCACAGGGGTATAGAAAGAAAGGCAGGAAAAAATACGGAGAACGTAGGTAGAGAGTGAAGTTCAAAATATGGGTAGGACATGGGGGTGAGCTACATACAATAGCGAAGAATAGAACAATCAGGCGTGAGCTCGTTGAAGGTCTATGCTCCATTCGGATTTAAATAGCTGAAAAAACAAGAAAGCATTAGAAAATATCCATGGAAGTGAAGGTAGCAAGCGTGATTTTGGCCACATTTTAGATAAAAACTAGCGGCGCCCGTGGTTAAGGCGTTACGAGTCTGACTCGTAATTCTAACGTAGCGCGATCTAAACCCACTGCTGGCTGCGTGGATTTTTATCATGGTATGGGACGTCGCTGGTCGACCCAGCCTAAAATGGGTACCAGGATGTATGTCCTGGGGAAGTAAAGACGGCCGGCGCGTAATGCTGACCAAATTACCCCCCCCCAGTGCCGATTAGTCTGTAAAATTATAGGTGCTCTTCTCATATTCCCGATGCACCTAAAGGCGTGAAAAAGAGATCTTTACTTTACCTTTTTACCGAAAACAAATACAGGTCCAGGACTCACACATGGAAGGAAAATGGCCATTTACATTACACAAAGAACACATTTCACACAGAGACCTTGTAGACGTTGTGCTGGGACGTCCTTTCATCGAAGCGTTGGTACATGTCGTTTAGCAAGTTAACAATGTCCATGGGATTGCAGGCCGAGGCGATGTTTGTAAATGTCACGATGTCGCTGAACAGAACTGTAACCTGGTCGAATTTCTCTGATATGGATGAAAGAAGATAAAACACTAATTCCTTGTGTACCAAACAATACACAACTTCCTTGCCGGCTATTTAATATTTGGCATACCTTTGTTAACTTTCCACGTCTAGACACTCAGTTTTTAATTTTTTTTATGACATACGAGGGCTGTCCGGAAGAGAACAAGCCGTGTAATATGAAACAATAAACATTTTACTTAGCACAATTATGCCTCAGTCCCCTCAGAGAGGTTCTTCGCTAATATCCTACCCCAAACAGGGGAAATCCATAGGTCACGGGCCAGTCTAGTATTTCAAGGGGTGGTAGATAGGCTGCTTGCAATCGTGGGGCCTAGGCTGCACTCTCTCGTGGGACGTTTGGTGGGTTGGGGTTAGGACCACTTATAGATGTTTTGGATTCGTTTAAAGCATTAGAAAGCGGGGAAACCCAGTCCTACCACCCTCTAAAATGTTGGACAGTCCCGTGGAGTCAGCTGGGGTAGGATATTAATAAAGAAACCCTCAAAGGTAGGTATCTTAAAAACTTACATAGAGGTTCCAGCGTGTCTTGCAATGTTCTCAACATTTCGCAAAATCTTTTTATGGACGCGGCATCCGTTGCGTCGTCAAATTTCTTATAACATCTGATCGACAGTCTGAAATCTGTAAAAATAATTTCGCTACATGTCTCGTACCCAGATAGTGTTGGACTGCCCTGCTCGTACACAGATAGTGTTGGACTGCCCTGCTCGTACACAGATAGTGTTGGACTACCCTACTCGTACACAGATAGTGTTGGACTGCCCTGCTCGTACACAGATAGTGTTGGACTGCCCTGCTCGTACACAGATAGTGCTGGATTGCCCTGCTCGTACACAGATAGTGTTGGATTGCCCTGCTCGTACTCAGATAGTGTTGGATTGCCCTGACCATCTTCTAGTTCTGGCACTGTCATTTGCCGATCTATGTCGATTGCAGCTCGTACGCTTTCAACAATTCCGACTATTCTGCTTGTTGCATGCCTTTGAGAAATAGGATCACTTTTAACAGATTCTCGACCGTCTTTTAAGCGCGTTTGTGCCACTCTTTTATTTGTGATGCACTAACCTCATTGTCCTCAAAAGACTTCCAGATCATCCGAATAGTTCAAAAGACGAACGTTGAAGCTCAAAGCAAAATTTGCTGCAAATACTTTGCTCTACTAATTTAGCCATTTTGAATGCGACAACCGCATACTGCAATGCGCTCACTAAACAATGTTTAAAGATCGCCCTAACTGGTACAGCGATGAGGTACAGCGATGGTGTCGTTGCTCATTTATGCGTATAACAGGATACAGAATCTGGCTGCCAAGCTGCATGATGTGAACTGTTCTCTTTCATATTAACTGAAGCTTGTTATTTTCCTGGAATCACCTGTATGCCTCTGTGTGAAAGCTGAAGAGGTGTGGTTTTAAAAGCTAACGGCGAAAAAAAAATTAACTGAGGAATACATGTGATTCAATGTACAAGAAAGAACAATCTATTTACTCTGGTCAAGTTGTGAGAAGACGAAAAAATGTATGCCGCAGTGACAAAGGGAGAGGGAAAGAGACATAAGGAGACCTAATAAGAAAATATTAGGCATCACAACATTGAAGAACATACGTATCAGGAATATAGTAAATGCGGCACAGGCCTGATGCATGGTCCTCCTATAATCTTCTTTTTCTTCTTCTTCTTCTTCTTTTTCTTCTTCTTCGCGTTCCCCAGCTGTAAACTCTGGCGGAACGTTGTGGCTGTACGTCCACTTTGGGACTGCAGTCCTGTTCAAGAACCTGAGTGTTGCGTTTTCATCCGGTTTACAGATTTAACTCATTTGTGTACAGACTGTTGGTTCCTTGCCCCTTAGGCAGATGCACTCCGACTTCGAAAGAAGCTCCTATAATGTTGTGCGAAGTGTCCTGATGCAACTACGTTGAATTTGTCCGATGAAAGACGAAAAAGAAATCCATTACGTGTGAGGTTGAGAGGATCAGCTTCATTAAATTGAGTTTTACGGCATATTGGTTAGTTTCTGAACCGATCGGCAAGCCGCCTGCCAAGAGCGTCACATAAAACACGAATTCTGCAGCTCCACTGAAAATCCCCGAATACGTACAACTGCACTCGTAAACAAAATTTTTCGAAACTAACACAAAGCGCGGGAACAACAGCTTAAGCATTCTGCCACGGAGTCCTAACACCAACCCCTCTGGATTATTTCCGTTATTCTCATATAAATACATAGGTAGCTAATGTCTTCATTTGGAGACGACCAGTTTAAATCCCATTTGTCGTCACTATAACTTTTGGTCCTGTTCACGTTTCCCGGCCCATTTATTACTGTCTGACTTTTCATTCATACTCGCCTACGTCGGAAGGATGTCACGTTGTCTTGCCTCCAGTTACATCAGCACCGATGTGGCGTGTTCTATACTACACGACGACACAGCTTTCAGCGACTCCAAAACATCTAGAACTGGCCCTAACCCAAACCCCCCTACCCACAGCCTTAGCCTAAGTCACACGAGAAACTTTTTTCGAAGAAAACAATACAACTTGACACCACTCAGACCTAGATCAGACTGAGAAAGTGTGTAGATGGGCCAGGAAACGTGAACAGGTCATAACTTTATTTTATTTATTGCCTAATGTGTCCTAGAATTTTTATCTGGCTTTGTTTTTACTTCTTTATTGAACATTCCGAATTTGTTTTTGAAAGTTATTTGTATTTGCGGACTACAAACGGCGAGTTGCCTGGTAGACAAAATATTCAAGTATACTCAACCTGCTTCGACTTTCTTTCCGTTGGTCAGCGCGTTGGCCACATTTCTGGGCAACATCTGATGAAGTAAACTTTCTGTTTTTGACTTTTCAACTTCTAGGGCTTGCGATATTTTTTTCAACTCAGCTGTAGTTTCATCAAGGCGTTTCCTGCACACAAAAAGTCAATAGCATTATGTTTACTATTTTTGTGTTTGCTTCTGTTGTAACATATTAAAGCATGTTGTTTATGAAATAGTTCATGCGTTAAATAATGGCTCAGGTACTTTAAGGATTTCCCTGCCCTCTCCCAATCTTTATAATAATAATAACTATTATTATTGTGCACTTGAAAAATTCATTGAGAATCAGCTGGCCGAGCGGTTACAATGTCAGGCTGTCATGCGGGAGGACCGAGTGCGACCCACGGTAAGGTAATGAAGATTTTTTGTCGGGGGGGGGGGGGAGGGGAATTTAACATCCTAACCTGCACAGTCTGTGGCGACAGCACTAGGTAGGGGACCCTAAATCCTCAGGCTCAATGCCCCCCTGTTAACACCGCCCTAAAAAGTAGTAACACAGGCAGTAGTGACAATTTTTGTGTGTGTGTTGTACAAGTCTTTGGTCACTGGAGCCCTGCCCCTTAGAAAAATGTACGGGAACCCACAACCCATCTCCCCCCCCCCCCCGGCAGATTTCTTCCTGGCAGGTCGCCTTCATCAAGTCCACCTTAAACAATATGGTATATAAAGAGAGGACTCACGCTATGTCGATCTCTGCTATCCTCTGCTGGTTCAGTAGAACCAGCTCCCGTGTGACGTCGTAGAGAGGGATGTCGGCCAGGTACACATTCATCTCCAGGAGTTCGTTTAGTGACGTCAGACGAGGGGAGCCAATGAAAATCATGTGTTCAGATTCTCTAAGCCATATCATCTGTCCTGGAATAGTTGAAAATTTTACAGATCCCGTCCTTTTTAGAATGAAATTTTTCGTTACTTGAAGCCCTACTCTGGCCATAGAAATATAGCCTAAAAGCTGAACGCGGTTTCTGGGGACCTCTCCACGGTGATCGTCACCCACATAGTGGCACATTGTGTCATCTCCGGTGTTTATCGCTTGTGTGATTTCCTTGTGGGGTAGAAAGTCAGTCAGTTGAAAACGTTTTTCTTTGGGGAATGCCTTTGTACTTAAACAATAGCAGGTTACTATAGAAGCTTTAATGTGCAGTCTTTTTCTCATTCTTCTACCTCTTCTTGTTCTTCTACTTCCTCCTCCTACTCCCCCTTCTTTTTGTTTTTGTTGTTTTTTGTGTTGCTCTTAGTCTTCTCGTTTTTCTTTCCCTTCTCCTCCTACGCCTCCTCTTTTTTCTCCTCCGCCTCCTTCTAGTACTTCTACTTTTACTTCTATTATTACTACTACCACCACTACTACTACTACTACTACTACTACTACTACTACTACTACTACTACTACTACTACTACTACTATTTCTTCTTCTTCTCCTCCTCCTCCTCTACTTTTTTGTTCTTCTTCTTCTTTTTCTTCTTCTTCTACAACTTGTTCTTCTTCCTTGTCTTCTTCTTCCTTGTCTTCTTCTTGCTCATCTTGTTAGTGTTGTTGTTGTTTTTCTTTTTCTTCATTTCTTCTTCTTCTTCTTCTTCTTCTTCTTCTTCTTCTTCTTCTTCTTCTTCTTCTTCTTCTTCTTCTTCTTCTTCTTCTTCTTCTTCTTCTTCTTTTTCTTCTTCTTCTTCTTCCTCTACATATACATACATACACACACATACCCACTCGAATGTATAAAGTAGACATAATGTTTTTTGGGGTTGTGGGGGTGGGGGAGGAAGAGTAAGGGGGGGGGGGGTATGTGAGGAGAAGAGAGCTTTTCGAGACCATCAGATAACTGGAGAAATCAGATCTGCATAAGGCAAAGGTATGACGAGACATATGATTAGGGAAGTTAGTACCAACGGAATCAATAAGACATTGGATAGATAACATCATGGACCATGATCTGAGAAAGGGCATATACCCCTGCAGTCTGGCAAATCACGTGATGCTGTTCTTTAAAGCAACTCAACATACATGTTTGTTTTTATCATCATCCTGTAACACTGTTTATCTATGGATCACCAGTTGGTGGTAATTTCTTCAACTTTGACGGTCAGATATGATCGATTTGATGGCTGCATGCCGAAGGCTTGTCCGGTCAGTTTCTTTGTCTGTTTCTCTTTCCCTTCAGAACCCTGTGGTATTGTTTTTGAGAGGCCGTTATATCTTATTATGTGTCCGTATCATTGCATTTTCCACCCTTTCACTGTAGTTGAAAGAGGTTTATATTTGTTTAATTATTAGATTTAAGAAAACAAAAGAGTTTTTAATTTGATGAATGTTGCTATTTGAAACATTTTATTTAATTCTAGGTACAAGAAATGCTCCTGAACTCTTTCCTTTAAAAGCTAATAATAGCAATCATTGTTATTAATAGTTTAAGAAGCTCAGTTCTATTTAAAGATACGTCTAGAAAAATGTCAAACAGAGTATGATGACAAGATTTATTTGCCTGTCATTCTATTTGTCTTAATGCCTACCTGTATATTTTTCGCCAGTCTGTCTGTCTGTCTGTCTGTCTGTCTGTCTGTCTGTCTGTCTGTCTGTCTGTCTGTCTGTCTGTCTGTCTGTCTGTCTGTCTGTCTGTCTGTATACATGTACACATCAATAATTATGTTTCACCACTCAAACGATCGATAATATTCCACGGGATCTTTGCTTCATGTGTTCTATCCACTTCATGTAATAAAGCCATTCAGATTTATCACCTCTCTCTCTCTCTCTCTCTCTCTCTCTCTCTCTCTCTCTCTCTCTCTCTCTCTCTCTGTTAGAGGACCAAGAAACCAACATTAGCAATAGCAAAGCCATTTACACAATTTTGAAGGCAGAACTTTTGTCCAAGAGAAACACCAGGCAAGCCAAACTTTACGGTTCGCCGAGTTAATTACAAAAGACAGTGAAGTTCATACAGGAGACAACCATTGAAGGTTAGGAAAGAAGAAGAAGAAGAAAAAATACACACACACACACACACACACACAAAGTTTTAGAGAATACAAATCTCACAGTTAAAATGAAAAGCCTTCTTTATTAAGCATGTGTTCCCAGCCTTATTCGTTACGGCAATGTGACACCTGATAGATTTATTCGCACCAGAAGAAAAATGAGTGCCAAGCCTGGGGAGAATACAGGACGTTAAGTGGGAGGTAAGGATCACGAACACTGAGGTAATGGGAGGAGCAGGTAACACATAGTCGTTTTCCTAATACTTGGTCTTCTATTGCTCAGATGTCTACAAAACATTTGAAGATGGGTGATCGTATTCCATAAGGTAAATTAATGGTTTTGGCTGAATTACAGAAGGTTAGAACATGTCCAAGTCGACGATATATAGATGTGGAAGTAAGGTAAAGATTCATTTTCACGCCTTTTGGCGCATCTGGCATATGGGAAGAGCAGTCATATTTTTACAGACTGATCGGCACTAGGTGGGTAATGTGGTCAGCATTGCGCCAGCCGTGGTTACTTCCTCAGGACATGCATCCTGGTACCCATCTTAGGCTGAGTCCACCTACGACGCTCCTACCATGATAAAATTCCACGCAGCCAGCTCTGGATTTTAACGCCGTATGTTGGAATTACGAGTCGGACTCCCGACGCCTAAGCCACAGACGCCGCGCATTTATAGTCGTGCACAGCTGCGAAATGATTGTTAAGGGGCAAACGTGAGAATAGAATACCATGGGCAGTAGTGGATTGAAGTGGACAATCTAGAAAGGAACTGGGATAAGGAAGAAAATAATTTTAGCTAGTTTAAGAGCTGACCACATGATAAGAAACAGTCAGTCGTGTATAATGGCAACAATAGCATAGAAAGAAATAAATGATTCTTTTGTTAGAAACCGTTCTTAGTGCGAGCGGATCTTCATAATCATGGACTCTGATTTCCATGCTTCCTTATAAAGAAAGGCGGAAATGTGCTAACAATTTCTTTAAATGTAGCCAATATATTTAACTTGTCTTTTTTTTTTCGGTAACCCTTTTTTCATGTCAGACGGCAGAGAAGTAAAAATTGCATACACAAGGGAGATGAATCGCCGTAAACCCCGGGGCAGACCAAGAAGAAAACGGAGAGACAATGTCCAGACAGACCTGCTAACACTTGGTGTCACCATTTGGAAAGACAAGGCCAACCAGAGAGATGAATGGAGGCGGGTGATATCTGCAACAATGAACCTCAAGGGCTCGGAATGCTGAAGAAGAAGAAGAAGAAGAAGAACCGTCTTTTCATTCTGAGCGTTTTCAGAACCTCTGTATGTGGGGTTTTTGTTTTTGTTTTTTGGGTCTCCATTAAATATTGCACTTTTTTTCTTCTGTATGTACACATAGCACTTGCAAGCGAGTTAAAGTGACAATTTGGAAATCATGCGTATTTCCTGCGGCAGGTTATGGACGTCAATCACAGACTCAGTCTTTGAAGAAGAAAATCTGAGCTTTTGAACTGAAGTGTTACAGAAAAGTTCTTAGAATACTGTAGACTAAGAAAAAGATCAAATTCGTCATCCTGCATAACCTGAACATCAGGGAGAATTGGCTCGTAAAGATCATCATCCTCTATTGAAAAATGAGGTATTTTGGACATGACAAGTGCCTTGATGGTCTGGAGATAGTGGTGATTGAGCGTGAAATAACCCCCCCCCCCCCCCCCGCACACCCCCCGCCCCACCCAAAAAAAGACAACAACAAAATCCGAGGCAGAGGCCACCCTACGCGAAGCTGGATACAGAACATTGAAGATGTATTGGTTATAAAAGCACAAAAGGCTGCAATGTAGAATTGGCCAGAGAAACGAGACTTTTAGGCCTGCCGTGATTGATGATACGGATGATTTAAACATTTTCTGTAACATAAACAATAAAAACAATGAATGCACGATTACTGTATAACAAAATACCTTTCAACAAAAACGTTTTCTTTCCATTGTCATTCTGGCAGATAGCCAACAAAAAGACTGCGTTGATAAATTTCCGAATATTTTCGATGCTGACCACCATTTTTGGATGCACAATACTAAAGGCACTGGTCAGTAACATGCCGTCTGTCAGGGTGAAACTGGAGTGTTTCTGTACCAGGTCACCACATTGCCTGGTTGGAAAAGAAACCTGTATCAGAGTAACTAAGAGAATGGTAATTGATTATTTGAACCACTGTCTCTTAGAGTTCAGCAAATCTATTTCACAAGCCTCGATGTTACAGAGTTTTACTTCCTCGGTGGGAGGTTTTGAAAAGATACAGTTCTCAAGGTTTTTGGACATAGGTAGAACGAAAGTCGTATAGTGACAGAGACTGTGACCTCAACATGCAAATACTCCCCAAAACTGCAGCCAACATTCACTACAAGACGACGCCCATAAATGCACATTTGGGGCACAAATGTCTGTCTAAACGCAAAATTACATTACAACCAGTGAGATGAAATGTGTAAGAAATGCTGTTTGAAAAACAAGAAGAATCAGTCACAGATGAAGAATTAAGAACAATTGTAGGCACAATTCTGGTAAATGATTTCATAGAATATCAAATAATCAAGTGGTTTGGTCATCTGGACTGAATCAGCTAGCAGCTTGAGCATACTATATGATAACTGTGGCCAACAAAGAGATGAGTGGATGGGGTAAACAAAAAAGACACCACAGAAACGCAATATGACATTAACATAAGCTTTGCAACAAGAAAAAGACAGGAAACTACATATGATTCCTCTTTTCTACGCTTTACGGCATAAGCAGTAGGTCAAAATAAGAAAAAGAAGCAGAAGATTCTCAGTCCAAGTCCAGCTGTGTCTCCAAACATTCATTGACGTCAATTGATTTTTTCAAGTTTAAGCTAAAAAGCTGGTGAAAAAGGAATTATTACCATTGTATAATAGCAGTGAGTATTAATACACATAAAACAGTTCATTAATAACATGTCTCATTTGTCCATGGGAAAACAATACCAGAAAAAATATATTGCTGAATTGCGTGGCAAGAAAAGGGAAAAAATAAGATAAATGTCTGTACAAACACTGATAACACAAATTAACAAACTATGAATTTTATGGGCACATCAACAGAACAAGTGAGCAAAGAGTCACCACACAAGTATTGCAATGAGAAACAAATGAACTGGGGAAAATATAGCAACAGAGAGAAACTCTAAAACGAACGTTGTTGAGAAAGGCTACACGAGTTAGACTGGATCCCATCCACGACATCGGATGGATTGTGGAGGATATATCAAAATGGACGTTTAGATGCTAGCCCTATGCGATAGATAACTGCATGCTGTGCTGTCACTGATAATACTGATGACGATAAAGATGATGATAATAACGACGGTGGTGGTGTTGATGATGATGACGTAGATGATAGTGCTACTCCGTATCTTGCAGTTTCTAGTGGAATGTACCACTTAACGTTATCAGACATGTACTGTCTTGAGAAGTCGGCTCTGTGGCTAAGTCGATGCGAACGCTTCGTTTCGTAATGCCGGGATGCCAAGTTCGATTCCAGCTGCGGGCAATGCGCCTTGCGTTGGTTTCGACAGTAGTATCAAGAAAGCCGACCGTCCAGTGGGCAATGGCAAACTACTGGAAGTAAATTGCCTAGAGAGACCACACAACAGCCAGGGGCTGTTAGGGTTGGTTCTGCGACGTCCTGTAAAGGATACGCAACTAACCTAACTGTCTTGAGAAAAAGGACACCAACATTATTCATTCGTTGTCTTCATCTATCTTTCGTTCTAAACATGTTCCAAGTTTTCACAAAATATTTTTTTCCTTCTCACATGATTGCTAAAATTATGACTGCACTTTCTGCCGTTTACCTACGTTGTCTTCCTAGCTTCTTTCAAAAACTCCCAAATCATCAATTTTGGCTGTTCAGGGAATATTGCCCACTTTGCTGTAAAAACCACGCATCTGCGACCTCAAGAAATTTATATTTGTCTTAAATGAATTCCTCTCCTAACCGCCAATTGCATGAGTAATGGCATAGAATATTCTATATTTAACAAATTACAGTTTTCGCACGTCCTATTTTGTATTGTATCCCTGTCGCACGTCTTTCATCTGAGAGTACCCAAGTATCCAGATACTTGATCGTCTGCATTGTTCCCCTAATTAATGCTTCATTCTCCTATTTTCCAAGCCCTTGAAGTTCATTGTCGCAGATATCACAAGCCTCCATTCATCTCTATGATTGGCAGCTCTGTGTTTCCAGTTGACGACTACAAGTATTCGCAAGTCTGCCTAGATATGTTCTCTCCATTGTCTTCTTGTTCTGCCTCGTAGTCTACGGCTATTCAACTCCCTTGTGTACACAGTTTTTGTTTCTTTTTAATCCGTAATTTTCTCTCTCTCTCTACGCAAGCGATCAATAGTGATGTAATCAGATTCTGAATTTCGTAGCTGCTTCTCACTCTCCATTGCCCGCTGTTGTATGGGTCCAAAGACTCTTCATAAGACTGTTTTCATAAAATTTTTAATTAAAAAAAAAAATCATTTAGCAGTGCACCGAATTTGTGTGCCATGTAAGGAAACTAATCTCTTCATCAGGTTATGTATTGTGAGCTTGGTGTTTTCCAGATTTTATTTTAGATTCTGCTTCTTCTCATGATATGTTTGTTTAGTCGACGTTTTTACCAAAGTTCGTGTATGCTTCTGTCCGTTAGAAATTCAGATTATCTATATGTGCGTGGCAGGAATTTGTAACCATTCGTCTTTATAGCCGTGTAATCTGTTCTTACCTTGGCTGATTGCTATTTCAATTTTTTTGTAGCTGCTTCCTCTGAATAAGCGTTTCCTTCTGTATCTAATTCGTTTGAATCCGTCTGACTTCAAGGTTCTGGATATCTATATCGTTACGAATGTTCTGACCTCAACCTGGAGGAGAAGAATGTCTCTCTTTCGACCCTTGACCTGTCCGGTTTGGCAGGCCTAACTGGTATCTAAGCTAATGCCGGTATAAACTCTCATGGTCACTGAGAAACGCAAGGCTCCCCCATTTATGTTAATTTATGCTAACGAGGAAGTCGCTGTGGTCTAGCAGCTAGAAGCTCACATTTTGATCAGAAGGTCATGAACTCAAATGCACTTGTATCTGGATGATTGTTCTTCATACATGACCTTGGCTCACAGTTCCACCCAGCTTTAAATGGGTAACAGGCAAAGTCCTGGAAAGCAAAGACGGCAAAGACAACCATCGAGTGTCGATCGTTCTATCAAACTGTGTCTAGCCTACTTATCCCCGAGTAGGCATTGGTTGTAAAGGACCATTCTGCTATTGATTTTAAGTGCACTTTTAATATGCCCGCTCCATCTATTTACTATTGCCATTAATTATGTCTTTAAATTATTCCGGTAGTGACCTCTGTTTACACGCTCTACTACAACTGTCGCATTATCTTTTTACTATTTGGCTGGTAAAGCGGCTTTTCAGGTTCAACCGTTGCCAAAAGGATATTTTGCTGTCAGCAGGGCCGTGATAGATAAACCAGCTTCACGAGACAAGTACTAGATGATTTACAAAATGTTTTTGAATTATTCTGATTTATATACCTTAGCATTAGTTGGCAGCATGTTTACAAGGAAAACTTACAGAAGGACATACATAGCATGGCTTCTCTGATCCAGCAGCTTCTGCAGACTGCTTTATTCTAAATGTATTGGTGTTACATTCCCTTGGTTGTGAACAAGGCAGAAAAATAATGGATGGGGATGGTGTTGTCATCTGCATGGGCAACACAATCTCTACAATAATTCCAGGTTTTTTGCTTTGGTAAGGAGAAACGTCCTCACTGGCATTATTTACCCACCCCTATTGGTTGCGATTCACATGCTGACCCGCAGCACACTATCTTCTAAAGCAGTGGTTCTCAAACTATGGATATCGACCCTTTTGTAGAACGACCCTTTCACAGGGGTCGCCGAAGACCTTCGGAAAACACACATTCGTTGAAGTTATGAAGTAGCAAAGACAATAATTGTACGGTTTTGGGGTCACTACAACTTGATGAACTGTATTAAAGGGTCGCGACATTAGGAAGGTTAAGAGCCACTGCTCTAAAGACCAAAAAGTTTCAACAAATAAACAACTTGGGATATGCATTTAGCCTCCTGTAATGTGGTGTGCTTATGTTTCCTCAAAGTTGGAATCAATGTAAGACATCAACGAAAACGAATGAAAGAGTTAACGTTAGCATCCACTGCACGTACTCAACAAACTGTATAAACTCAACTAAACTGTATAAAAATTGCAAACTTATTAAAAGAAATAGTAAGCTTATTGTTAAAAAAAATAATACACATTATGTAACTATGTTGTAAACATATTAAAAATACGTAATAAATAAACGTGTGTGTGTGTGTGTGTGTGTGTGTGTGTGTGTGTGTGTGTGTGTGTGTGTGTGTGAGTGGAAAACAAGTAAAATCCTTTGCCCAAAAAAAATTATAGAAATGAATAGCAAACCTGTTATGTATATAAATAATAAGCAAATTGAAAATGGGAGTTCCGTGGCGGAGCGGCTAGACGTTCGATGTGGATCAGAAGGTCGTGGATTCGCTCGCTGGAGGAGCCAGACTTTTGTCAAAAATGACCTTGGCTGCCAGGTCGACCCAGCCTTGGGTGGGTACCAGGTGCAGTCTAGGGAAGTAGAGGCGGCCGGCCTGATGATAAACACATAACCCATCTTGTGCTGATTGGTCTATAAAAATATAAGTCTAGCCCTATATGCCCTATTCTCATAAAGGCGTGGAAAAGGGTCCTTTACTTTTTATTATTGAAAATTAACATTTTTTAAGTATTATGAAAGTATTATTATAAATGAGTAATAAACTTTTTTACAAAAAATAATTTAACTCCCCAAAAATTGTCAGCAAATTATAAACAATATACTTTATTCTGAGCTCTCTGTCGAAGATAATGTGATACGGAAAGGCTGAACAAAACTCCGAAGCCTTCAAGAGGACCTTGTCTGGGTGAAACTCTGTGAGTGTTTTCAGGCTAGACTTGCTTCCCTCGGGGGTAACCATCAGCTTGCTTGTGCTCTCAGATCGCAAGAATACCCTGGGATACATAAAAACAACGACAAGACACGCTAAAATTACAATGAAATACACGAAACAACCTCAAGCGTCTTTTTAATCAAAATCATCATCATTATTATCATAATTCCGTCGGGGTGTTATACATCATATAAACCTCCTAGTTTTTTCTTCCATTCCTTTCTGTCGGGTGCAGTTGTTTTAATATCATAGACGAAACGCAGTCCAGCACTGGGACTTTTTTCATGAACGCTCGCCTTAGGTTTTTCATTTAGTTCAATGTTATTATCCCCAAACAAAGTAGGTTAGTTTGCATTTACAAACTTGCTGGGCTGGACTACTTTCCTGCAGGTTACGGGTGTGTCCCGATCTCTTGTTTGGTTTCCTTGATGTCTTGCATTAACGTTTTCATTCGAGAATGACTGGGACATAGGTTGCAGCACTCTCTAGGAAGTTGTGTTAGACACAGTGTGTCCATGTTTTTGGAGTGTTTAAAAGTGTTTATAGAAGACGCGATATCAACTGTATTGCGGAAAACCTCCGTCACTCTGTGGCAAGGTAAAGTGGCTCAAGGTCGACCAGTCAGAAGTGAGCTAGTGTGTAAGAGTGTGTAAATGGGGAGACTAATGTCAAACTGACCGGTTTTTCTTATGGACGTCCTGGTTTCTTCATTTATTTTTCTTCCTTCCGATTTCAGTGAATGTCTAGTGAATGCCTGTTCTTCTTTTCTCTCTCTCCTCTCTCTCTCTCTCCTCTCTCTCTCTCTCTCTCTCTCTCTCTCTCTCTCTCTCTCTCAAATGATATGCTCAGTATATTTTTATATTCTTTGTCTTATTAGATTTGATACAAGCGGTTGTCCAGACATTTCTTTTAATGTTTCGCCTTTGTAAAAATGGCTCCATTTGATATTAATCAACTTCCTCGCTTATATGTTTTGATACAGTCTTGAAATACGAAGGAAACTCATTAGGTATGTTTGGCAGCATATTTGACGGCAGAAACATAGATTACAAGCCAACAGAAGGCTAATCCCAGAGATGAATAGAGGCGTGCGATACATGCATCAATGAACCTCATGGACTCGGAATGCTGACCACGAAGAAGCGTGTCCTCTATCTTTGTTTCTTTTTCTTGACTTCTGGAAATATTGATCACTACCTGGTGTATTTCTCCCGCTATTATGCTGTCGTCAATGATTCCTCAAATCTTGACATCTTCGTGTATTACGAAATCTAAAAAACAAAATTTTCATGCCAACACCGTGCTTCGGGTGCAAGACTTGGTCATTATACGTGAAATTAACACATGTGAAATGAGAAGTTTGAGAAAGCCGCCAACTCAGCCATCCGAAAAAAAAGTTATAAATGATATTATAAGACAGAATGTGGGAACATTACCCTGCAGCAAATTCGTTGAAAACAAGAAAATCAAATGGTTTGGCGTTCTACTGAGAAAACTGCAAGAACAACTACCAACGCAGGCGCTACACATGACACAATTTAAAGTGAAAGCAAGAGGTCGCCCTAGGAGACCATGGAATGATGACATTAAAGAGGTTCGACATCGACACCGAATGACAATAGCCATTGCTTCCCGTCAAGCAACGGATTGCAAACTGTTTCTCCCAGCGACGCTTAAAGGCAGCGACTCTTAAAGGCAGAACTTAAAATTGATGATGACAATAATTCCTAAAAATAAGGCCTTTGTGAGGTTCAGTTGTGTGTGCCTAGAAATCACAAATACAACCTAAACCTCTTATTGTCCTCACCATCGTCGTCATCTTCTTCTTTTGCGTCCGACATTAAAAGCGCGTTTAGCATATTGTGGTTTACAGATAGGATGCGATGTGGGCGTCTTTCAGGCGGGAAAACATTTTCATCGATGAGGCTCCTCACCATGAACTTTAAAACCATATGTAGATAAATCAATGGCAAAATGTTGAGGTTCTTTGAACTGGTACGCATAGATGCAGAGGAAGCACCGTGTTGTATGACGTGGGAAAATTAAGATGGGAATACAATAAAATGATCGCACATACGTTGAGAGCGAAGACCCCAGAATAGTAAAGTGAAGAACACTTTTCCACGCCTGCAGGCGTACTGGGCATATAGGGCTAGGCCTATATTTTAAAGACCAATCGACACTCGGTGGGTGATCTGGTTCAACATCACGCCAACTGCCTGTAATTTCCAGTTTTGTATTAAATACTTATTTAAGACTGGGTCGACATGGAAGCCAAGATCGATCATTTATGAAGAAAGAAAAAAAAAAAACCAGTACTGTCAGGACCTGAATCCATGACCTTTTCATCCGCAGGCGAGCGTCTAGCCGCTACACCACGACGAGACCACATAATAGGCACGTTAAATGTATGATGTGACCGCAGGGGTGCTGACTTACATACTATAATTGTAGAAGACTTTGCTCAGCGCAGACGGGTCTTGCTTTTTACACTCGCCACAGTCACACTCGCCATCGACATAGCCTGCGATTCTCATGCATCCCCAAAACACAGTTTAATACAGTCGTGTGAAAACGCTTGAAATGCCAACAACAGAAGGACTACACAGCATTAAAATCGAAAGTTATGAGTTAAGAACCGACATTACAGCACTCGGGATATTCCTATAAGCGCTCCGTCTCCATCTTCAACACCAAGCGCAGAGGAAAAGATTTAGTTTTTATATCATGAGTCGAACCTTTCAGCTGAAAAGAAATGGCATCTGGCTATAGGAGCATGTCTACTTAGACGTATGACCACCTAGATATCCTTCCCAAATTCACATTCAAAAACTGTTTTCAGTACTTTTTGGCAAAATTAAAATACTCAAAATTTTAAAACAATAAATGGTGGCCGAAAGGTCGTTGTGTTTGGAAGCTCGCTCTCCTTCGAGATACGCCTAGCCAGATCAAAGGGAGACAGAACAAACAGGAAACACCAAGAATGAAGAAGGAAGACATGCACCAGTGACAACAGGACGAGCGGTTTGATTCGGATGGAAGCATTAAGCCAGAAATGGCACAAACACCAGTATTCAGTCACGAAAGTGACGCAAATAACCCAGACCACAAATATAGGCGGAGACTGTTAGCAGCCTAGGCTAGCTAGCAGCAGTCTGAACGTGGTCGAGCTTTTCTTTTTTTTTTTTTCTCAAAAGGACTTGGACTTGGACATCTAGCCCAGTCATACACCCGAGCCATCAGCTTCGGAACATAGCCATAATTCGTATAAATCGTTTAAACAGTACAATATGCACATAGATAGGACCACATATGCTAGATAATAATATTATGAGGGACGGTTACCGGGTATTTCCCTTCGCAGACATTCTGTCAATGAAAAAAAATGGTACCAATTTTACGACTCTTTGTCGACCCAAAGCTGTATGCTGTTGTAGAGATCGAATCCACAGTGCATAGATTTATCACCAAATATTACTCATAGATATGCAGTGAAGCATACAGAGGTAAGACAGAAAATGTAGTGGATTCTCTCTGGTAATTGCATTTCTATGTGATTTATGTCTTTATTAAAAACTGGGGTAGTTTTTTCAGAGCAGACATTTCCCTGAATACGTGTTTGCTGTGTTTACAGATTTATTATTACACGCTATTGTTTGCAACAGAAGTAAAGATGGCTGAAATCTGCAAGAAGCTATCTCCGCATTACAAATTACAATACGCTACGAAATCGATTTTTCTTTTCATGTGGAAACAATAATCGTAATGATCATCAAGTGCCCTACCATCCGGCGTATGCGATTATTCCTCTCCACAACTTGCAGTCTCCAAGATCATATATCAGTTTATATGCAGACACCCTTGTTATCCATGAAAAAGGGTTGTTAAGCATTTTTTTCGCGTTGTCTTCTTGTGACTCTTTCAAGAAATCTTTAATGTTCTGACACGTTTCAATTTTTAAGTAAAGTAAAGTAAAGTAAAGATCCCTTTTTCCGCCTTACGTGCATCGGGTAAATGGGAAGAGCGTCCCTTACTTTTACAGACCAATCGGCACTGGATGGGTAATGTGGTCAGCATTACGCCGGCCGTCTTTACTTCCCCACGACGGCCATCCTGGTACCCATTTTAGGCTGGGTCGACCTGCGACGCCATACCATGATAAAAATCCACGGAGCCAGCAGTGGGTTTCGATTGCGGTACGTTGGATTACGAGTCGGACTCGCAACGCCTTAGCCACGGACGGCGTGTTTTCAATTTTGTTTCTCTTTCGTTGTCTTTTTTTTCCTCAGTATTTGTGATTAAGTTGTCTTCCGACCCTAGACTATTTCAGAACATTGGCTGGCTCTGCACAACGTGGTGAAACATTGATGCATGATATTGCAAACGTGGGCAGGACCTTGTGGGAGAGCGTGTACAGTTCGGAGAAGCAAATGGATCACAACAGTCTGGCGAGAGTGATTCAGAAGGGAGTGACAAGGAGTTGTGGCCGATACTCGACACTCAGGGGAATGGCAAGACAGATATATAATAAGACTGCTACTGTCACCCTAGGTATTGGGACTCTCCGCTGGCTGCTGAAAGTGGGTACGGAGCGATTTTAGGAATGCCCTGTGTTCTGTGATATTGGTTCTTGAACCAACTCAGCTCAGCTAACAACATAACAGATCAGAATCCTAATAGCACGAAAGCATTGTTTTCCTAACCTCAAACTTTGTTGTATAGGATGTTATTCAAGACATAAATGCCATTTTAGTCTGTCTTGTTCCGTTCTTAATTGATAGGATATGTCAATATGATAAACAAGGTTACTAAACTAATAGTATCTTTACTGCAATACGAACGAGCACGCTTAGAAAAACTTACGTCCCTTTCGAAAGACAAAAAGCATAGAAAAGATGAATGCATTCATGCTTTGTTGAGAATGAGATGTTAACTGGAAAACGGTCAGACAATATACAATTAGTCACAAACATATTCTGAAAACTTGCAGAGAAGCATCCTTTATGTATAATTTTTGGTTTATATTTGTTGAGCCTTGTTTTTCCGTAGAATCTCAGCAATTCTGTTGTTTTTTCCATATTCGTCCTTTCTTTTTCCAGTGACCACAGCAAACTGTAAGGATCTTGTGCGATCTCTTTTTGCCAGACAGGCTAAATTACAGATACCGTCTTTAGCTTCCAAATAAGATATAAATGGAGCTCCCCTAAACGCTATAACAAATACTATTATTATGTAACTGGCCGTCATCCGAACATGAATTTGTTTGTATAAATGGAAATTAGGGCCACCATTTTAAGATACCGCTTTGAATATTAGATTACCTGCACATGTGGGACACAATTTGTAATCTCTTCATCCCCTTGTGGAATGCAATTTTTTTTAAAGCCCCATCCTGGCTTTTGCCAGGGCCCTAAATATAGCCGGGCCTGAAAAATGGCCTAACGGCTGAACGCGGTTTCTGTACTGCTCAACGTGTGATCCCCATCCGCATGGTGGCACTTTGTGTGATGTTTTAGTGGAGTAAAATTTACTTACTTACTTACAGACCTGCATCTGTTATTTAGAACTCCTTCAGTCTTAATCACATCTGCTGGAATACGATCCATTGCAATGCCACACAACACAGCGATTAATGACGAATTAGGTTTGCCCATACTTCAAAACAAAAGAGATATTCTCCAAGTCGTTTTTCTGGTAAAAATTGCTTCTCCTTCTTCGTCTTTTACCTCATTTACTTCATTGAAGTGTGGGCAATGTGTGGGGGAGGTCTAAGGTGTATACTCTTTCGAAGGCGATGCATGAGTTAATTTTCATTTCCTTAAGATTGGTCTTGATGCAGTCGTATCATCTTTTGCATTGTTTTGGAATGGCTTGTTTTTATTTTATTTCTTTATTGTGGCTCTCGGTGACAGCTGGTACCAGGGCATATTCATCACATTGCTAAACCAGCACTATTAGCTATGTACTTTTGTTCACAATACACAGTTAACTCAGCGAAAAGCCATATAGGATCTTTTCATAACCTTATGGTTCAATAATAAGTAGTTTTGTAGTTTTGCATTAATGTTGTTATAGCGGGGATGAGTTTCCTGATATACCTCCTTGAATATTTAAAAAATCGTGATTAATGCCTTCATACTAAATAAATTATATGGTTGGCACCTCTCCGACTCTCCAAACTGTAGTGTTACAGAGTACAATGAGGAGGCAGGGGAATCACGGCCATGGCGATGGCGAGTGTGACTAGCAAAACTAGTCTACGTTGAGAAAAGTCTTCCAAAATTAGAGCAGAGGTTTTCGGGACCGTTGTTGCTATCAGGTGTATCTAATGTGCTTCGTCTCAGACGCCCAGCATTCAACCTATCTGCAACCTATCTATACCCTTCTATCCCTCTTATTCCCATTTTCTCCCTGATTGTCCCTTTCCACACAAACAGTCCTTAACGTGTTGTTCCCACGAATCTATCTCAATACCAGTATAATTCATGTTCCGCTTGCACACATCTTTATATCGTAGTAGAAGCCCACAAACCAACTGATATAATGCAACTTAATGTGTCACGGTCCTTGAAAAACTACTGGGGCCTCTAGAACGATACTAATGAGCAAGCTTTTTGAGTCTGCAACATTCGCAAAGTGGATGTGCAGCTACTTCTGAAGTCAGAGGAAAGCTGCTGGGACTGGCTTTCTCCTCTTTTCTGTACTTATAATGCTGCACATTTGAAAAGCCCCACTCGAATTATCTACAACTGCTTTTTCTTTTTCTTTAATTTTTTTTTAACGAAAACAAAAGAAAGTTCTGTTGGACTGTCCAGAGAGCCTTCAACACGTCCGCTATATCATAGCTCCCTATTCATAGGAGCGACAGCAGTCAATATATCAACTTGCTCAGTACCCTGGACATCAGAATATTACCGGCGAAAAGCGCAATATGCTCCTGATATTGGTCTTGGTCTCCTGGTCTTATCAAGCGGGCAAGACAGACATATAACCAGATTGTGACCGGTACCATCAATATTGGAACTCTGCGCTGGCTGCTGATGATGAGGACGGGGCACGCATCGAAATGCCCCGAGTGCTGTGATGTCAATTTCTAAGTCAACTCAACTTAACTATCAAGCTATACTCTACGCATAGAACGTCAAATGTGTATAGTTAACCCTATGAATATTGCAGGCAAATTTATGATTTTTTTTTTTTTAATCACACCGTTGTCTCATTTAGACATGAGCTGTGACCTTCTGGGTTTAAAAGAGCTAATGTCATATTAGTTACCTGAAAGCTGTATGTTCTTGTGTCTGATTGCAGCCAATGTCTTCTAAATTCTGCTCAATGACGGTCATTTCTACGGACTGCTCGAACAGGTCTCGCGCTACCGCTTTCAGGACGCCTGTGGAATAATGTATAACACAATTTGTTGGCGCTCACAATGGTTTTTAGAAATTTGACTAAATCAGTTTACATATTGACAAAACATACACAGGATGAAATTTATGAATACACTCCACGCTGGTTCATTCTCTTCAGGTACGTTGTTTAAATATTATCAGTTTTACTTATTACCTTGTCCCACAGGCCTCGTGCAGCTGCAGTATACCCCCAAAGGGAGCCATTCTAGCTTCCTGTTTTCTTTCAAACACCTTGCATAGCACAGACAAAATATTACCGTGATTCTTACCATCTATGACCTCTGGATTAATTTGACCCATTTATGTGTCGTTCAGATTTTCTTCGATCGTCGGCGTTCTACAGTTACTGCCTCAATCTCCATTCCCATGCTTTCTGTGGTAATGTCTGGTGTAAAACTGTCCCGATCATACTGCTTCCCTATGCTTTTGCAACGAAGCCCAAATAACTTGTTTCCTCTTGGCCACTGACCCATTAGTATATACAGGGTCCGACAATTAAGTATTGAGACAAATTTAAAAAAAATTTGATAATCAACAGTTGAAGATATAATCTGTATCTGATTCAAAGTAAGCCCCTAACTGCATTGATACAGTAAGTGGCACGATCTAACAAATACTGGAACGACCTCTGTAGTTCTTCTGTTGTTATTACCCTCAAAGTGGATGTTACGGCAATTTGGATGTCATCAGTATCGTCAGAGAAGCGTCCTTTAAATTGTAACTTTAATTTTGGGAACATAAATCAGTCACAGGGTGACAAATATGGGGAATAGGGTAGATGGTTGAGAACATACACTTGTTTTGGGGCCAAAACTTTCTGTACAACTACTGCCCGGTGAGCCGGTGCATTGTCATGAAAAAGGGAACAAACTGCATGGTTTTGAATATTCCTATCGGACTCTGAGAATCCTTTTCAATAGACGTTTCAACATACTTAAATAAACTGGGTCTGTGACAGTCTGTCCCTTTGGAAAAACTTCTTTGTGAATAACTCCGTTGCTGTCATTGAAAGAAGCACACCAACATTGTCTTCACTTTCGACTTTTGAAGATGGATTCCTTTTGGTGATGATGATTAGTTCCACTGAGCACTTTGGCGTTTAGTTGTAGGATCATAGCGGAAAATCCTTGTTTCTTCCTCTGCAACAATCACATTTAAGAAATCTTTATTTCTTTGACACGTTTTGATGACGTTTTTTGCGAACTCAACATGCTGATGCTTTTGGTCATCAGACAAGGAATGTTGTACAAACCGGCAAGCAACTTTTTCTTGCCCAAATCTTCCACTAATATTGTACGAATGATCTCTCTATTAACATCAAATTCATCCGCCATAATCCTCACAGTCAAACAAAGATCTTCTTGTGTCCGTTGTCTGACTTTTGCAATGAGTTCATCATTACGAACAGAAATGGGCGGCCAGGTCTAGTTGCATAAGTAATAATTTATACACTACTACATAAACTTGTCGCATCAATTCAGCTGTCTCAGTGGTGCTTTTTCTGGGTTTAAAACAGAATTTAATGTTAGATTTTTGCTCCACGCTGATTTCGTAACAATGCACATATGTAACTAGGTCCATAAAACGGCGGTTTGTTTGTCGTCTGCTTATCAGGCGAAGTTCCCAAATTATAGATGAAGTTTGCCTTTGCTTCATATATGTCATTTTTGTCTTGGCCATAACAAAATCAGTCTCCCTTAATTGTCGGACCTTGTATAATGACATCAACTGACAAAGAATTGTCTTCTATCAGCTGTTGAACGTCTGCTTCTGCACGTCCCGCTGTTCATTCTCTTCGTTTCTGTTCCAAGGTAATTACCACTTTGTGCAGCTTTTTTTCGTTCTCTGATGTATTTACCCATTCTTCTCCTCTGCTGATCTCTTTAATTGTACAGACACTGTTGACTGTCTTTTCGTCCTGGGCCATCCATAATCTGACCCTCTTTAGTATGTTACTCTTTACAGTATATAATTTCTTACGATAGATAACTTCAGTGTCGGTTGCAACATCAAGATAATACCCATCTTGCAGTGATTGGATTTGATTTGATTCAAGAACCGACATCACAGAACTCGGGGCAGTCCCATAAGCGCTCGGTCCCCATCTTCAGCAGCCAGCGAAGAGTTCCGATACTAATGGTGCCAGTAGCAATCTGATTAAACGTCTGTCTTGCCTTTCCTCTGAGCCTCGAGCATCTGCCAGAACCTCTCGTCACTTCCGCCTGCATCAATCTCACCAGACTGTGGTGATCCATCTGCTCCTCGAGGCAGTATACCATGCCTATCGGTAATATCTGGCATAGCCAAGGTATGTCTCATACACACAACTGGTATTGTTCGCGTGCCATATGCATTTACTGCGTGCGCATATTTCTGGATTGTGCCCAGACTAACTGCTTTTTTACCAGTTTTTTTTTTTTTTTAATGGGACAGCAGGGGCCATTTTGTTTAGTTTTCACTGACACAGGAACAGAGCGAGTATGGGGTTAAGCTAAAACCTCAGCTAAGGCTAAGACTAAGGTTCCCAAGGTCTTATTCTGTCAACGAGGGGGCGGGGGTGTCTCCATGACGCAGTGATCAAGCCACTTTGAAGGTCGTGGGTTAGCTCCACAGCTGTGCCCTTCAGTTCACAAATGCAATTTTTACGCAGGTCCCTAGGCATCGTGGCTGAAGCTGCGAAGTTCGTGCTCTGCGCGGCGCTCTAGACAGGTGGTTGGTCGTTCTGAAGAGAGAGAGAGAGAGAGAGAGAGAGAGAGAGAGAGAGAGAGCCATATGGAATAAACCCGGTCCAATGAAGTCGATCCGCTCGACTTTAAACTTTATTCTCTTTGCGTTCCAAATTTCTTTTAGCCGAGTCTTTGACAGGGTTAGCATTCCTAAAACATATTAAATGACTGACATAACAAGGCGCCTAATGAGTGAATATAACATCCCTTATTCTGCATCCTAAGCAACATTGACCTTCAGTGCATCAAGGCCTCTTTTTTCTGTACCAATGATGACCACACACAGAATCCCCTAGTTTCCCCTTGTAAAAAGTCAATCATTAACAGTTCTCGTTAAAATGGATATCCAGAGATGGTAGTAGGTAGTTGTACCCCACCAAGACATCACAAAAGTGATAAACACCTGGTGACACAAAGTGCCACCATATGGATGAGGACCAGCCGTGGCGAGTCCCATTTCAGCCGTTTAGACCATAAATATGGCTAGGCCATATTTATTGCCCGGCTATATTTAGGGCCCTGGACAGAAGCCAGGGTGGGGTTTCGAAATAACAAGAAAATTGCATCCCATGAGGGGACGACTTAATAAATATCGAGAGAACGGAATGGAGGAATTTGAGGCACACCTATTCCACGAACAAAGGGCATTACAGGAGAATAATGATCATATTATTTCTGAGCAATGTATTATGTGCTTTTTTTAGCGAAACTAGACAAATACAACGCAGTTATTAATACTAATCTTGATAATAAAAAAACTATATACTTATCTCAGCCGTGCAATTGACTTATTCCTACGAAATTTCAGAGAAATACATCATAAACATAAGGAACAAAACGCTAAAGGCGATTTACGGATTTACAGCAGCCCCTGTAGTAAAACATTTATTATAGTTTTAAAGCCGGGCTGAACATATGAGGTTTGAGCTCGTGATTTGTCCAATGTTTATCGGTACAAGGACGAATTTGCATAGCCAACATTCGCCACTAAACAGATATTAAACAGAGATGACATTTTTTTTTTAAAATTCAGTACCTATTTTTTTTTTTCGTGCCCATTTTAGGCTGAAGCTGTGTCTGTAGCATACGCTAGATATAAAGTGTCAATCTAGTTTTTGGTATCCTCAAATAAGCCAGCATACCGCGATCGAAACCCACTGCAGACTGCGTGGGTTTTTGTCGTGGTATGGGACGTCGCAGGTCGACCCAGCCTAAAATGGGTACTGTGACGTGCGTACCATTGTGACTAGGTGGTGTCGCAATGTAACAAATGGCATCAACACTTAACATGCCACTGGCCAAGAGTAACAGAACATGATGAATGCTGAAGCTTCCAAACGTAGCGAAACAAGAACTCTCTTTAAAAGTTCCATTTGTGTATTGACAATAACGATGATCAACACAAGGAGAAAATGTGCAGTTACTAATCAAGATTCATTCAAGCATATCAACAAAAGCCCGCTCGTACATCCATGGACTGAAATGTCCTCACGATAGGTCGCAATCCGACCTTGAGATCCAGACAGTAATCTGAATTAAGTAATGAAGGTATACCGGCTTACTGCCGAACTGTGTCGATCTACTAGCTTTCTGCTGAGGTCTATATTGGATTCCCGGGGTAAAACGTCCTCAAGGATCCAACTGTATACAACGTTTGCTTCCGTGGGATCCCGGGGTAAAGCGTCCTCAGGGATCCACACGTCCGTCTCCTTCGGACTGTAAACATCAACTGCAAAGTATACCGGCTTACTGCCGAACTGTGGCATCCCGGGGTAAAACGTCCTCAAGGATCCACCGTGGCATCCCGGGGTTAAGCATCCTCAAGGATCCACACCAGGGCCGGACACCGTCCGCCTTGGTCAAACTTCGACTTTCATCTCCTAGAATACAATTCCTTCACAACCTGACGTATTGTTTTGACGTCTTATTTGCTCGCTCAGTACCGGTGCGTTCTAGTGCACATTCGCACGCGACAGGTACCAGGATGGGCTGTCCTGGGAAAGTAAGGACAGTCGGCGTAATGCTGACCACATTACCCACAGAGTGCTGATGGTCTGTAAAAATATGGGACGCTCTGCCCGTATGCCCGATGCGCTGATAGGCGTGAAAAGAGAACTTTACTGTTTACTTACATAAGTCTAACTAAAGTAAAGGACCCTTTTCCACGCCTTGAGGCATACTGGGCATATAGGGCTAGACCTAAATTTCATTGACGAATCAGAACTTGGTGGGTGTTGTGTTTAGCATCACGCCGG